ATCGTATGGCAACTACCTCAAGGGACTGGGATTCCGGAGAAGGGAAGACTTAGGAAGAAAAGATAGTTACACCCAAATACATACCAGTTTTTACTTAGGAGGGAAACAAGGAATAAAGAAAGTCACAGGAATATGAATTCCAGTTTCTGATATTCTAAACTGTTCAGAGAAGCGCCCGTGTAAGCATAGCCAGACAGGTGGGTCTGCAGAAAAGACTCAAGCACCGACTGAACAGATGGGTGAGAGGGCTTTGCAAAGTTCTTTCCAACCCTGAGAGCCCAGAGGCATTCTAAGGTTTGATAGACTAGGTGATGATTTAGCTGTGTGAGTGCTTAAAATAAAAATGGCACTGGCAATCCCACACACCCAGTTTAAAAGCCTCTAACATTGGCTCAAAGGAGGTAAGATATCTGAGTTCTTGCTATCAACTGGGATTTAAAAATAAAAAAAGTTTAAGTCATTTATTCCCTAAGGAAAGGTAGTTGGGCATACACACCAGATTTTGTTGTACTCTTCCAGGCATTCCGGTTTAACATTGTGAACTGAAATAAAAAAAATCCGACAATAAACTTATGAACAAACAAGCAAAAGCCAACAGGAAGGCAGCAAACTTGCTACTCACACTGCAACTTGTACAGACTGCTAGTTTCCTTCTTGGCCAGGAGATTGGAGTGAGCATCTTTTCTGGGATCAACTTTCCTGACAAACAAGGATTTTAACCAGCTGTCTTCTCGAGGTCTGTTATCGGAAGATGTCAGTCTCCTGCAGAAGAACAAACCCGGTAACGTGATCTCATCAGGAGTGCGGCGACCTCAGTGTCTCTAGAAGTGTCTCAGAGTATAGTGCTCTCTCATACGTCCATCGATCAACTCAGCAAATACACGCTGACCCTCACTCCAGACAACGAACAGACTCCACAGCGCGTCAGCTTTTTGACGGGACAACACACCCTCTAAATGGCAGGAGGCGCAGAGGAAAGCGCGCAGCAACTCCTAAGAGCTCTCATGTTTGTCTCAGCAATCTGCGCTGATTTCGATACCTCTACGTCCAAAGCACAGAAAAAGTATATGTGGACTAGACAATCAGATTTTAGGGATAGAAGGTAGGGCCATGCTGTTATATACATTTTTCCATGATTTAAGAAAAGATTTGATTTGGAGACAAGTGGTAACGGTTGTGCAACATTGTGACTGCAGCTAGTGTCAGTAAATTATACACTTTAAAATGGTTAAAATAGGAAGCTGGGTATGGTGGCACATGCCTGTAATCCCAGCACTAGGGAGGCTGAGGCAGGAGGACTGTTGCAAGTTTGAGATCAGCCTGGGCTACAAAGTGAGCTCAAGGCCAGCCTGAACTGCATAGTGAGACCCTGTCTCAAAAGAACAACAACAAAAAGGTTGAAATAAAAGGCTTGGGGAAAAAAAAGGGTGGTGTGGTGGCACATGTCTGTAAACCCAGCACTCCTGGGAGGCTGAGGCAGGAAGTTCACCATGAGTTCAAGGTCAGCCTGGGGTACAAAAGCAAGTTCAAGGCCAGCTCGCACTACATTCTGCACTATATAAGCGTAACCCTTTCTCAAAGGGTGTGTGTGTGGGGTCAGAGCTGGGATGTATATCAGCTGTGAAGCATTTGCCCAGCATGTGGGAGGTCCTGGGCATGATCCCCAAGAATAAATTTGGCTCACTCCACAACCTACACTTTAACCCATGGATTTATGATGATGATGATGATGATGATGATGTTTTTGTCTTTTTGAAACAGGGTCTCACTAAGCAGTTCAGGATGGCCTTGAGCTCACTTTGTAACTCAGGGTGGTCTCGAACTCGTAACAATCCTCCTGCCTCCGCCTCCCCAGCGCTGGGATTATAGGTGTGTGCCACCACGCCCGGCTTTTACCCATGTATTTTAAAGTGCACGTTTAACTCCCATACATACGCTTGTTAGTGAGAATACAAACCTGTACAATCTGGAGGGCAGTGTGACACTATTTATAACAAAACTGAAGCTGTGACATTTGGCCCAATGACTACTCTTGTGGTTATATCCTGCAGGCAACTATATTTAGATAAGCGCACAGAGTTGAATGCACAAAAACATTCTTTACTGTCTTGTTTTCAGATTTTCCTAATACAGGCAATTTGCATATCCATTAATACAGGCTGGCTAACTAAATTAGGGAATGCCCAGAGCGGAAAATATGCAATCATTAAAAAGATCGAGATAGCTCTACATGCACTGGCACGTTGGTGCCTCTGAGAGAAACTATGTGGGAAGAGCAGGCACAAAGCAAACCGTAAGCAGTGATTACCTCTGGGGACTGTGACTGCGCTTGGAGCAGGAGTAAACGTGCATTATGTGAAACAATTCAGTATTATTTTTATAATTAAAAATTAGCTAGGATACCTAAAAAGTACATGTTCTGAAATCTTTCTATAAGTAACCACTGAAAACAATACTGAAGAAATTCAGACCTGGTCAAGACACTTTCTTTCTAGCCTTACATAACCATGATCAAGTAACAAACTGCGTCCTTATGTCTACATTTTCGTTCAAACTTACGTACAGTACAGCACACTTCTTTCTGCATAGTCTTCTGTTTTGACAAATGCATAAAATCATATAATCATCATTATAAAAGAAGTTTCTTCAATTTCCAAAGTTCCCCTTTTTGTAATCAGTCCTCTCCCCAACTATGGCAACCACTGCTCTGTCCCTGTCCCTATAGTTCCGTCCTTCCAGAACGTCCTATTATGCAGAATGTAGCCTTCTGAGTCCATGGCCTTTCTTTCTGCCCAACCCCTTTTATAATTCCTGAGCACCATCTCGGCTAGAGTTAGTACAGGGTACTTTGCAGAGTTCTGATCTTTGATTGACCCCTTTTCTGCACTTTCCTGGAAGTAATGTGCTGGGATTCCAAATGGCCAAGGCGCACACTCAGCCAGTGCTTCAGAAACAAAGTTGGGCTGCAGACAGGCTAGTGTAAACCCATTCCAGGGGATCTCTATAGAAACACTGCAAGATTTTCAAAAGTCTCATTATCATCTGTATAGCAGCCTTGCCTCAGGACACCACCATCACCAGACAAAAGTAGGTGGAAGAGAGAGAGTAACCTCAGGGCAACTGTGGAAGAGGCCCAGCAATTTAAACAGGGACAAGAAAAACACAGTAGGGCAAATTCCCATTGCGTCATGAGATGAACATTTAGATTCCACACTAGAAAATATAAATCTCTATTCTTATTTTTTTTTTTTTAAATCTCTATTCTTATTCAACTATAGTACTCTGGAAATAACAGTGCTCTAAATTTCACATCGGCATCTTTTTCCCCTTAATATAGTAACTATTTGCTTTACTAAACAAACATTACAATTTCTTCTTCATAAGATATTATATTTATTTATTTATTCATTCATTTTTGAGAGAGGGTCTGGCTATGTAGTTCAGGCTGGTCTTGAACTCACTATGTAGCCCAGGCTGGCCTCAGACTCATGGTGATCCTCCTGCTTCAACCTCCCAAGTGCTGCAACTACAGGTGTGCATCACCATGCCTGGCTGAGATGTTATTTTTAACTTAAAAAATAACTCTTAATAGATGTGGTGGTGCGCACTTGTAATCCCAGCTACTCAGAAGGCAAAGACAGAGGGAGCACAAGTTTGAGGCCAACTGTGTTAATTTTGAGAGACCCTGTCTCAAGATAAAAAAAATTTTAAAAGGGAAAGGGATATAGCTCAGAGTAGAGCATTTGCATAGCATGTGCAAGGCCCTGGGTTCTATTTCGAGCACCATAAAACAAACCAAAAATAATTCACAGGGTATCTCACATAGCTGAAAACCTGGATAAAGATTTCTGAGTGCTGTGAACTTACAAATATACAAACAAAAATGCCAATATAAAATCAGTAATGAGCCGGGTGTGGTGGCGCACGCCTGTAATCCCAGCGCCCAGGAGGCTGAGGTAGGAGGACCGTTGTGAGTTCGAGACCAGCCTGGGCTACAAAGTGAGCTCAAGGCCAGCCTGAACTGCATAGCGAGACCCTGTCTCAAAAAGACAA